TGCTGGCTGGGGAATTCTGGGAGTTGAAGTCCACACATCTTAAAGTTCCCAAGGTTGACAACCACCAATTTTGCAGGCAAGCTTCTTCACTTTTATTAAAAGCTTCACCTGTTTGATTTCTGCTGAACCTCAGAGGGTTGTTAAAAAAACAAGACCAATGCAAGGAACTCTGAGGCTATTTCATTTTTATTTAAAGTCATGTTACCCGCCTTCAAGGACACCTGCATGAACAAACAGAAAAGGTTACATTTCGATTTGTGCTGCAACACAAGCCTGTTTACTGAGCGCACTGGTGGCTGGAGCAATGTGCTATTCACCAATCCTTGCACAAAACTGCGTGTGGGCATCGATGGTGCTCCCCAGCTGCCAAGCCCTATTTTGCCTCTGGAGGCTGGTGACTGGCACTATTCTTACAGTTTTGATACGGGGTTAGTTAAGGAAAGGAGCTGCTCTACCGGCACCTGCAGGGGGGGGTGTCAAAATAGTCACAATTGTGTGCTTGAAATCCCATCTCCTTTTCTATGTATGTCAGACACACAAAAAGGGGTGGGACTCCAGTCATGCCCACCTTCTTAACGCTTTTGACCCCCCCCCCATGGGCTCCCTTGAGCTGGACATTCCCCTCTCTTTGTTTCCCCTCCCAACAAGTGGGACAAAAGACCCATTGCTCTCCATTACTATGTGATGGGGTTGGTTGGGCTGAGCAGATCTCATGTCCTGACCACATCCTCAACCACAGTGTTGACAAAACATCCTAGATCAGTGTTGGATGTTATCTTGACTTGCTTCTAGCTTTTCTAGACCACCCGACCTTACATTCTGAGGTGAAGCTCAGCGGAGATGGGATAACCTCATTTCTGTCAGCTTCCCCAACAGCACCTTCCTGCTGTTCTCCCCACTGGATCTACCCACTACTGCAGTGTTTCTCAATCTCGGCAGCTTGGAGATGTGTGGACTTCAACTTCCAGAATTCCCCAGCCAGCATGCTGCACTGGGGAATTCTGGGAGTTGAAGTTCACACATCTTAAAGTTGACAAGGTTGAGAAACACTGCATAAACTCACTCTTTGCTGACATCTGGGTGCTTGTGTTTTGCAGCCCAGATATTGCAATCCTCATCTAGTGGATGCATTTAAACTGTGCAGAGGTTCTTGGGCTTTTTGTTAAGGTAATGAATAAATGTAACATATCTGCACTGCATGCAAAGTTGAAAAACCAAAAGGT